CAGTGATTCGTCAACATTTTCAAACGATTGAAATCGAAATAAGGTCTCATTCGGGGAGTCTGGTGCCGTTTGAAAGAGGTAAAGTTTTCATAGTGCTCCACTTTCGTTTGAGACAAATTCTATAAAAAGCTTTACCAAAAGAAAAAATTATTCATTCATAGTGTAAACGTTCTAAAAGCTGTATCAAAAATGCTCATTCCATATGCTTGTTGCACCAAACACTTTGAGGATTATTATGTGGGACAAACTGGAAAAGGTCTGCCGTATTATCAGGGAATGGTTTTACAGAAAGGATACGGAATAGGTGGATTTTTTTGCGAAACTTTTCCGTAGTGCCATGCCATTTTTAATTAAGGGAGCAAAAAACTGTTGGAAAAGAAGCTCTACGTGCAGGAACGCAAATTGCAAACGATGTGATATCAGGAGAAAATTTTAAATCAGCCTTTAAAACCAGATCTAAAGAAAGTGGAAAAAAATTAGCAAGGAAAGCAGTTCAAAAAGCAGATGAGATGATTGGTCACGGAAAGTTTAAAAGGAAACGCAAATCTCCCAAACGCTTCATTTCGTCTAAAGCCAGGAAAGTGCAAAGACGTGACATTTTCAACTCATAATGGCTTTCCTCTTAAAAGATTCTCCAGAATGCGCCAAATCTGAACTCGATTTATTTACATTACATTACCTCCAACCCAAACAGTTATAGAAAGAGGACAATGGATAGAATTTCATCCCCTTGCGAATGTGTCGGATGGAAGTCCTGTCGAATTCAATGTCGCGGGTAGTGGCGATGACTATTTGGATTTATCTCAAACTCAGTTATACGTCAAAGTTAAAATTTTGAAAAGCAATGGCGGCTCTCTCGGAAAAGATGATAAAGTGGGACCCGTGAATTTGTTTCTGCACTCCCTCTTTTCTCAAGTTGATATAAGCTTAAATGAAAGACTTATTTCCTCCAGCAATAACACGTACCCTTACAGAGCCATCATAGAAAAATTACTTAATCATGGTTTTGATACGAAAACTTCTCAATTATCATCAGAATTATATTTTAAAGATACAGCAGGCCGTATGAATGTTTTTGATACTGCGGATAAGCAACCTAATGAGGGATTCAATAAAAGAGAGCAGAAGAATTTAAACTTAGTGCTACAGTGGATATGATTGGACGGCTACATCTAGATATGTTTCATCAAGAAAGACTTTTGTTGAACATGGTCGATATGAAAATTAAACTTATCCGCAGCAAACCGGAATTTTGTTTACTACTGGGGGAGGGGAATTTTAAAGTGTCATTGGAACATGCCTCATTATTTGTACGCAAAGTTCGAGTCAGTCCAGGTGTAATTTTAGGGCATGCAAAAAGTTTAGAAAAAGCGACAGCGAAATATCCTATCAACCAACCGAGTGCTTTGCAAAGTGTATTCCATTCCATCAGGAAATATGAGTTTTGTTCAAGATAGTATTTTTACGGGCCAGATGCCTAAACGCTTAATTGTTGCTTGTGTCGATAATGATGCTTTCAACGGAAAAACTATAAAAAATCTCCCTTCGAATTTAAGCACAATCATATCAATTTTATTGGCATTTACGTAGATGGGCAACCTATGCCTCACAATCCTCTTCAACCTGATTTCATGAATAAAAACCTTTATTCGTGCTTATCAGAATTTATTTGCCAATGCAGAAAACCGAGGATTGTATCTTTCGAGATCAGAGTATCCAGAAGGATACTGCTTTTCGATCTATCACCTGACTTGTGTGATGGTTCTCACTTGAATTTAGTCCGTCATAGTAATTTGAGACTGGAGGTAAAATTCGGTTTCCCTCTGCCAATAACAACATCGTTAATAGTCTATGCAGAATTTGAAAACTTAATAGAAATCAATAAATCTAGAAATATTATCTACGATTTTGGTAACTAATGAATTCTTCAGAAATTCATAGAATACTCTCTCATGACAAATGGACAGCAAAGTACTACACTGGAGTTTTCCCTTCAGATAAAATCCCAGATGTTCATCGTTTCCCAGCAGCTATTGTAGTCAACACTGATAAACACAACGAGAAAGGGACGCACTGGCTGGCTTTCTTCATTGAAAATAATCAGACTTTAGAATTTTTCGATTCTTATGGACTTCCTCCCATGACTTATGGTGATGACATAGCAAAATTTACTAGCAAGTTTAACTGTGTGACATGGAATCAAGTTTCTCTTCAGAGTGTAACACATCAAATGTTTGTGGACAATATTGTACTTATTATTTGTTAAAACGATGTCAAGGATTATGTTTGGAATCAATTGTATCTAATCTTTCTGTAAGAAATAGCGATTTTCATGTATTTCATTTTGTGAAGAAAAGGTATGGTGTAAAAATGATTTTTAAGAAATAAAATATTAATTTGCTTGGAATTTTAGTTTTGTCTTTCTTATTAATAAAGTGCAATTTACAATTTTCTTAAATAACTTTTCTTTTACCTTTTAGTTATAGAATAAATTTTAAAGGTTTCATTTAAGCTTAAAAATTATTTTCCATTGTAAATTACTGGAAAAAAAAGGAGATTTATTTTACTCATGACATCTGCACATTTTTTAAGGAAAAAAAAACTTACCTTTAAAAAAAAATCTGGATCATTTTTTTTCAACCTGAAATTAAAAAATATTTTTCACACATATAAAACACACCAAATTTAACTAATATCTTTCTTTTTATTTAATATTTTATCCAAGAAGTTGAATACAATTTTCTTTTCTTTTTTACACATTTAGGTTTAGCATACATTGTAAACAGATACTTGTTTTTTACAAACTCCCTGGGAAAATCTACAACATCTAAGAATTTTTTAAACTCTTCATAACCTACAGGCTTGGTCTGTTGATTTCTTAACAAATAATTCACCAAGTCTTGAACATTAGAATTATTAATTTTAACTTGGTTCATGATTAATTCTTTAGATGGAGTCCATGTAATAATATCATTGTGAAGTTTTAAAAAGTCTATAATTCTTTTGGCAATGTTCTTAAATTTCACTGGAGCGGAATTCGGAATTCACAATTTCTTCTTCCATGGTAAACTTTTTCTCTTCTTCTTTGCTAAGCTGAACACTTTCTTGTGTTTCTGATTTTAATTGGGGAAATGTTACATATTTTTGAAGTATTTGAAGGTATTGCTTGGCTTTTTCATCTTCGGATAACTTCTCGTTTAAAATGGTGCTCATTTGCTGATCTAAATCTGATAAATGGTTTTCAGCAAATTCTAATTCTCGATCCGAGGGTACAAGGATAAATTTACGAGCGAACTCCATTAATTAATGTGCTCAGTACAGAAACTGCGGCAGGAATGAGCAACGAAAGAAATCCATCACCTTTTTGTACCAATAGTCTCCGTTTTTTAAATAAGGGTATCTTTTTATCACCTAATGTACGCAAAGTCCGTTTATATACGGCCAGTTTACGTTTCTGTCTTTTAGACAAAGGAACGTTACCCTGTAATACATTTAAAGCACATTCACATACACTTTTAATAACACTATTGGGACATTTTCTTAGAAGAGTTTTTTTTTACTTTACTTTTGCCTAGGAGTTTAAGATGTTCCAGGCTCGACATCTGGACCTCAAATGATTGGTACTTTAACAATTCCTTCTCTTTTATAAAGGTCGCATAAGCAACCGCTTTTTGTGCAGATCTTATATTTTAGGACATTTTTTAAATAATCTAATTTTCAAAAAAAAAAAAAAAAAAAAAAAAAAAAAAAATTCGGTGTGGCAAATTTTATTCTTTTACAATGTAAAAGAGAGTTTTAAATTTTAAAAAACCTACAAATTAAATCACTGAAGGAGAAAACTTGTTGAGTGCAACAGCAACTAACGGAGTTCATAAACAAAATGCTTATCTGAAGGGAAAATGCCTGTACGTAACCTTAACATTTCTTGGGTTTCTGGTCTTAAATCTATTAGTAAATAACTGTAAGGGTTTGAAGTTGCATCCTGGAAGACTTCCTGAAAAGCCTTTGTTTTCCCGGGGAACATCTGCCTTGCCAAATGTACGACTTGACATTTATCTCTAGGATTTTTGAACAGTATCATGTAATGACAATTCAAATGAATGGTTCGCATCTCTTTACCCTGCTGAAATAAATTTTGAACGATAAATATTATAGAAAGATTTCGGTGATGGCTTCCTTTCGTAAAAAGTTTACTTAAACGAGTATCGCTCGCTAACTCAGACATTAAATCATCAATGATAATTAGTGCATTTTGCAGGGAATTGAGGTTCGATGGTAGTCCTTCTTCAAACTGCACATTTTTCATTTTACTAAAAATAGGTTGATATGCTCCATAGCAATAAATTATACGCTGAGGCATAGGAGAAAGCAGACTTTCTTCGATGACTCGTTTCACAAAATATGTCTTACCGGATCCTGTCGGACCGCTGATGAGAGATGTGGAAGGGTGTTTCAACACAGGCCACTCCATTTTGTGGGGTACTGATGATCTTCAGAAATGTGTGAAGCTTTATATACTCCTCTCGTTTAAGAAAAGGCTAAGAAAAAAAAAAAAAAAAGTCAACCACACAATTTTAAAATTTTACTGCAAAATATAATTTTTTTTAACATTAATCCAACAATAACCCTGCAATGAAATAAAATAAATGAGATGCATACCACTTAAAATCCATAGGGAACAGTAGTTAGATCTTCTTTTAGGACCCTTTTGTTGTAAACAATTTTGTACAGTTTTTTGTTTCTGCCTTAGTTAAAACTTTCCTCTTTTTGGCATCTCTCATGATTTTATGTTCATCGTACATGGCGATTGTTGTTTTTCGATCCATCGAGCACACTAAATTCTTAATCTCCAAAAAATTTAAAATCTGTTGATTTTTGAAGTTGAGGGAGAAACCTCGAACTTTACAGCAAGTCATTCCTCGGGCTGTTACATAAGCGTAATTTTTAGGGCCTCCTGAATGGGGGAAAAAATATGCTACAGAAACTACAAGAATAAAAGATCAACCTAATAAAAAATAAAAATAAAAATGAAGCTCACCAGAGACAAATGTAGTAATAGTATCTCCATTGAGTTCATCTGTAAAATCCCCCAAAAAATTACCAAGAGGCGGATCGTTGGTAAAATCGCTTGCGTATATAATTGAATCCGTGTCATGATACAACACAGCACGGCCCAACTTCTCCATTTCACTGTAAAGCTTTAACCGTGCCCATGCAGTAGTAAAAGCTGCCAAGAACACATTTGTGGATGTGTCCTGTGGAACAAAATAATGTTTATAGTCCCATTGCACAGCAGCTACTTCAGGAGTCGGAAAATATAAGTCTTTGATCTGGAGGAAAAGTTAGCAGGTTGCAAGATTAATCATTTAAAAATATACATCTTAATTTACATTAGAAAATAAAATTACAAAACTTACATTTTTTGTTGGATCTGCTAATAATTTATTGAAATCAGGTAATGTATGAACATAAGTCAAACGTATCTTGTTCAGGTTCATTCCCCATCTTTAAAGAAAAAAAAATATATAAGAAAGAATGAGCATTTTTTTTAAGAAATAATAAATGATATAAAGATGTGAAACAACTCTTTCTATTAAAAACATTATAATAATTATTTACCGCCCCCAGAAGCTGTTCAAAGCCAATTTGGCTACTTGCCGTCTTCCAGGATTCTTCTTAATATTAAATTCATCAAGCTGCACACCCTCTCGCTCAAAATAGGCTTCAATGTAGCGTTTTCGTTCGGTCGAGCTTACACAATCGGCTGGCCAGCCGCTGCTTTCTTGTTTTATTTTTAAAAACAAGTTGATATAAGATTGAAATAGAGTATCCGTAAATTGAGAAAAATGGTACACTTCATAAATCTGAAAAAAAAAAAAAAAGATAGTGGGAATATGAATATAATAATATACAATAAAAATACATGCTGTGACATTTATAACACATTCAATAATACTAATAATTACCCAAAATACTTACCTTTGTTATACAGTAACCTTTTTTCACTGCTAATTTGACTTCTTCAGTCACCCATGTGCCAATGATGGCTCTCTCATCATCTGAGTGCTGGCAAATGCCTTGATACATTAATTCAGCACAAGTCTTGCAGAGGGGAAACATCAGTTTATTTTGTGCTCTGTACGGCAATACGGGGAGGTATAAACCTCGAGGAGGCAGTATTCGGCACTTTATAATACCGAAATAGTTTTCCAAGGCATCAAAATTTTCAGTAATAATATTAGGGTGTCCGACGGGGTACAAACAGTATTTATTGACCTAGGAAAAATTGAAAAAATATGAATAATCGGAAAAGCGATTTTCTTTTTAAATAAGACATGCGCGTTTAATAAGATTATTTTATGCCAAAACACAGAAAAAAAAGTATTTACCCATGGATACAGTGAAGTGAAATCCACATACTTTGCATCACCCTCATAATACAGCTGAATGGCATTTGTCCGCCCGCCGAAGAAAGCATCTTTAGGATTCAATCGATCCTGAAGCTCGTGACTTAGAAGAAAATATTTTACTTTTTCATCTGTTTTCTTTTTCATCTCAAACTCATCATGCTCCCACATTTCAATTACATTATACCCTCGATCACGTAGCTGGTAAGTCTTGTCTACCGTTTGTTGTCGCAATGTCGACATGGGTAATTTTGTTATGGGGTGGAGTGCATCTCCGTCAAAACAGGTGGAGCAACCGTGAAAGAAACATCCCTGCGATAGTTAAAAATTTTTTCGTATAATAATACCAATAAATAAATAAATTAAATAATATATTTATAAATAAATAAATATTGAACTCTTACGTAGTATTGATAAACAGTATTTGTTTCTTTGCAATATCCGTCTACAGATATACCATCCAATCGTCTTTCTCCTTTTCCGTTCAAAGCGTGTTCGATTTCAATGCTCTCTTTTTGGGCAATAAAATCAAGCCAACGAATACAGTCAGGACTATGATTCGTGCGATTGATATAACCTCCTACAGGTATCATTGCGATGGTATTAGGTATTATGTGTCGGGATCTGTAAACCGCCATACACGCTGATGCAATGGTTATGTAACTGAAAATAAAACGGACAAGAAAAGTGTAAATCATATATACATAAAGTATACATGCACGTATACAATACGTTGTTACAAAATGACAAAACCATGTAAAAGAAAAGGTTTTGTAAAATACCAAAAGGGGTCTACTCCTGTAATTTCTAAAAACTGATTTCTAAATTCAACGCAACATCTACGAAGGATATCAACATCTGATCTGAAAACGAAAAGAGTAAATAAATAAATAAAACATGGTACCAAAAAAAAATACACCTAAAAGACGGATCATAATGAAGGATTAGAAATAGATTGTTGATACAAACCGGCAATACGTGAGAATTTCTTCTTGGAAATCAAATATATCCTTCTCGTGTTCTTTATGCCATTCCAAAAAGGAGGTTCGCACCGCACTAGTCATACAATCAGGATTGTAGTACTTAGGCTCAGGTAAAAATCCCACATAATTTTGATTTTCTTTCTTGTTGAAAAGGTGCGGAAAATATCCTTTTTTTAGTTCTGTAAGGCCGAAACAAGCAGGCAGCTTTGAGAGAGCCATCGGCAGGAAATTAAAAGAATCAATAAGTTTTATGTTGAGGGCGGTATGGGTGATTACCATCACTTTAGAGCCATTAGGGATTACTTCAGGTGCCGTACCCTGTTCTAAAAGCCATGCCATTATAAACTGACCGTCAAATCTGTAAAGAAAAAAAAATTATTATATTTTAAAAAATGTATTATATTTAAAAACAATAGCCCTATAATATATATATGCAGATTAAAAATAATAAGAATACATTTACCCCTTCATATTGTGTGCAATAACAGTGTAATTTTTGTGCACTGTTGTAAACAGCCAAGAGCAGAATTCATGACATGCTTCGTATCCTTTAAATATTTTCTCTTGGCCATCTTTGTACTGCGCTGCGCTACAGCAAAGTTTACGATGTGTTCCCCTGATGATTGGTCAGTTTCGAAATCAAAGAAAATTAATTTATCGGATGGACTTTTCGCAGAAATGAGTTGTAAGAAACAATGATGTTCTGACGCTATAACATACTCTTTACACGAAGGGCATTTGATAGTCCCGCAACGATGTAAAATTTTAGGACACTGCCGTCGCATGATAACTTTTGAGCATTGTCTGCACTGATACATCTGTAATTAGGAAAAAAAAAAGTAGAACAAAGATTTTTTAAAAATATATTTAGAAAAAAAAAAAAAAACGTTTTAAAAAATGTAAGTATTAAAAACTTTTTTTTTCCCCTAGTTGAGTAATACTTACCCTATCGCATACTGAATGCTCTTGTCTACCTGTGACGGCTTTATGCGCTGCAAAGCAGTCCTCAGATTGACAGAGGCGATCACAATCTTTACATCTTTTAGGCAATGCTGGAACGCATTGAAATCTTAGGCAGACATGGCACATATTGTCACACCTGTGATCTTCTGGACGGTCATATGGCTTTTCACAATTTTCGCAATAGTTTTTCGAACCATAAAAACCGTGTAAATTTGTAATGACATCAAAATGGCCATTGTGTTGCCACAAATTAATGCGACGAGTTCGATATCTTCCTTTATACGAGACCTAGAAATAAACAGTTTATAAATATAATTTCATTTTACATTTTTTTTTTTTTTTTCAATTTAATTAATTTTTTTTGTTTAAAATCTTTGGCTTACTTATTTATTTAATTTTTCACTGCTTATTACTACGATTTGTATATTTAGATGATTTTCAAATGTGCAGATTTCAGTGTATGTACAAGGACCAAGAGGAACTCCAGCACACTTGTGTAATTCTTGAGCTCGTAGCATTAGAACAGATCGTCTCCGATCCCGTAGAGAATTAAGCGCTGACTTGTCTTGCTCAAGATAAGCTAGGGCATATACGATTGCTTTTGCGCAACACAACCCTTCATCATCTGACGGGATGGAAAGGACAGAGCGTTTTTTAAGACGATCTACTTGAATGTTGATTATCTTTGCTCTACCTACCTGCACCGATATCCCTGCGAATCGTGATCACATCTACTAGGAAGCCTGAATCCAGCCGAATTTCATCTTTTGACTGCAGAACTTTCATAATAACCGATAATACGGTCTCCACCGTCATGGAAGATACGGCAATAATTTTCGTAGACATGGGTTTATCCAATCCATCGGCTTGGATACACATTCGTATCCAATCTGTCGGCCTTAGATTTTCTGTTGACCGTTGAATTAATATTTCAAACAGCTGTCTAACAGATTCAGTTACGGCTAGAAGAGGCCTGTTGCGAATATTTTGAGGCAGACGATTCATATCAACACGTGCCTGGAAGGTTATTTCCTCGCCTTGATACTTTCGGTTACGACGCCGTGCCTTCTCTTTGAGTATAATAGCATTTTCCATCTGGAAAGAAAAGAACATAATTCAGTGTAAATGAAAATAAGCACACACGCAAACACACCATAAGCCCTAAAACAGGAGAAAAACTCACATTTACTGAAATGTCATGTTCCACATATGCAGGTCCTTTAGATGGAGCAGAAGGTTGAGTCTAAAAGATGTATAGACATCACAGTGATATGAAAAACATAACAAACATAGAAAAACATAAAAAAAAATAATTCTCATATATATTTATATATATATTAAAAACTGATATTACCTCATATCCCGAGCCTACTTGATAGTAAAGAGGCAAAACCAAAGGATTCTCCAAAAATATCTGCGAAGTTTCACTTAAGAGCTAAAGAAAAGTAACAGTTGTGTTTAAAGAAATTTAGGTTCAGCTTATATAAAAAAAATACAAAAAAAAAAAAAAAAAAAAAAAAAAAAAAAAAAAAAAAAAAAAACTACGTACTTCATCTCCTGAATCACTAAAATAATTTTCAATGCCGTCAATAGGATTTTCGATGAATATTTGAGATGTTTCACTCAGGCACTAAATAAATTAAAAATAGTGAATAGTCTTTTTCTAGGTGGGGCAAAAAACTATACATTGTAAAAATAAGCCACAGAAGGAAATAAATAAAACTAGCTTACCTCATCATCAGAATCTCTTAAAAGCGCATGGAAATCCTCACACTACAAAATAATAGTATTTTTAATCATGTAAGTATTACAAACACGTGGTCAAAGAACAATTGAAAATAATATGGCGATATAACTGTTTTGAAACGTTAATATTACAAACACGTGTTTCAACAAAAAACAGGGTAAAATATAATAAAAAAATCTAAGCCGTGTAAATAAAACACATAAATAAAATTTAGCTTACTTGATCATTAGAATCTCTTACAGATACATCGGAATCCTCACACTACAAAAAATTTTAATTGCGTGTCAGTATTACAGGCACGTGGTCAAAGAAAAAAAAAAAACAAACACTAAAATAATAAAATTAAACACATAATAACCTTAATACATTTATATATAAAAAATAAAATAAATAAAATAAATTTTAAATATGAATACTTACTTGATCAAAAAAGGGTTCCAAAGAACGTTTACTGTTTCTTGAAGCCATTTTCGCAGATACGAAGAGAATTTCTTGTTTTTTTCAAAAAGCGTGGTAACAAACTTCTAGAATTTAGCAAGTAATGAATTTCGGAGGCAATCCAGCGGTTGAAACTCGGCTCCGAACTTTTTACTTTGTCTGAATACGCGGATTGGTTAAGAGGGCATGACATCATTTTTCTGCTTTCTGATTGGTCCACAGAAATGTATTCGTTCACCTACGCGGATGTCTACACAAAGGGAGTGAAAAGGCAGACGCCATTTCCCAACCAAATCATGCACAAACATGATAAGGGTGACGTCATTTACCCACCAAGAAAATTCTTCAAAATGGCGGCTATAGAGGAAATCCAAGATGGCGGAGCACGGAAAAACCTTATGCAGATAATTAAGAACCATATCAACCAAGGAATTGTGGGGTATCGCTTAAAGACTTGGATGCGGTCCCCCTCAATCCCTTTTTATTAATTATTGGGTGGTAGCGAGTTCGTACCCCGTGAAAAGGAAATATATTACATTTTCATATTATTTTTTTTTTACGATCCTGTTACTTTTAGATGATGTTCTGGACGCTAGATGGCGCCAGCAGTAACATAGCTTCAAGAAAATCAGTACAGATGTAAAAATATCATTTTAACTCTTTCCCTGCAGATAATAAATAATTTAAAAAAATTTCTTCCATTCGAAAATAATATCACCCACTTAGAAGAAAAAAAAATTCATTTGATAAATTGAAAATATTAATTAAAAATTAAGCACAAAATAATCTTTATAATATCTTAAAGAAGGTAATCAATGTTCGAAAAAAAATTAAGAAATTAAAATATATGTCTTCTACCCCTCTTTCATCGTTTAAAAGAAACTTTTCGATCGGTAAACTCGTTGAACGCTTTGCCTTTTTTTTTTCTAAGTACGAATTTTTAGTCTTCTGTGGTAACAAAAGCGTGGCTCAGTGGTTAAAGCGCGTAGCTGGAGATCTCGACATCGTGGGTTCGGGCCCACGCAATTTTTGAAACTGTCATGAAGGGCAGCATAAATCACCGTACAAAACAAAATGGCCGATGTTCTCCAAAGACCACGTGATTAATAAATTAATTAGGTAAGTTAAATAATAATTAATTAAATCCTTCATAAATACTTACCGAATAAAATTAATGAATGCCTCGGCGATTCAGCACGCACGGCATGGCGGGAAAAGGATGAGTCATTCCAAAGGAACACCACGTGATCCAATATGGCGGGCGGACGTCACGTGATCCAACATGGCGGATGGAAGTCACGTGATCCAATATGGCGGAGGCCACGCCCCCGTTGCGTCATCCTTTGTTCTATTACGTCATGGCGGCATCCTTTTGCCGCATATAGTGGGGGTATACTACTAGTTAGTGTGCTTCGGTGACGGAATGTACATGCTCAAAAAGGGGAAGTTCTATATCTCTCTTTATCGGCCATTGGAATCAATGGTCTCAGTCTCGAAACCGACAGGATATATATTAGATTTTATATAGCTCACTCACATAGTTATTTACACCAATCGGCTTTTCTGAAATAACATACCAATTTTTTTCCATATTTCGCTTCTACGACTCAAATTATGCCTAAATATTAAATTTTGGTGCGAAATTTACGGAGAAATTCAACAATTTATGTTGGCGCTTTATATTCAAGTTTGCGCCAAAATTAGTTAACTTGGCGAACTTCTTAATATGTGGCAACCTATTTTCATTTCCATTATTTTTACATAGTGCGTGAGAGGAAAAAAAGACCGAATCGTTCCTTCTTTCAAATAATGTTCTTTATATTATATTTTTAATTATAATTGTTATTAATTTTAAGCAATTTTTTTCTTTTCGAATTTCACTTTAATTGTTTATTGAGCATCTTAAATATATTTATTAATATACATTTCCCAGAATTTGATTTTATTTATTTTAATTGCGTTTCTTTCGGAAGAAATACTTTGTAACCCAGACTACGATGCGTTTTGAAAACTGCATATATTAAAAGAGAAAATACAGTAAAGCACAGTTAACACGCCTTTCAATGTTCCGTTCAAAAAAGATATATATAAATAAGAGAGATGTATAACCGACATTTTAACTTAGGATTACTTGCATACACTGCTTTAAAGAGTTTTATTATTGTGACCATTGCTTTACACAATTTTATCCTACATTTGGTTTCTTAAAATGTTATTCATATTTTAGTCAAATATTTTATTTTTGAAATGGCAAGAATCAAATATCATAAGATTAAAAAGTTTTAAATTAAAAAAAAAAAAATACAAATACCAAATTTTACGCAAAAATTTATTTTTTCTTCAGGCATTCTACTTTATTCTTGCTCTTTTTCTTTAGGCACTCTACAAGTATATTAAAAAGCATCCAACATCCATCTTTAGAGGCTGAAC